ATTCTGGGGCTGGGGACGGAGGGTCACCACCTCCCCTGTCCCCTGTCTCAGGAGGAGGCCGAGCTGCGCAGCGATGGCACCAAATCCACCATCAAGCCCAGCCAGATGTCGGTGGCCCGGATCACCTGCGTGCGTGGGCAGGGCCCCAACGAGGGGGTCCCCTTCATTGATGACTACATCTCCACCCAGGAGCAGGTATGGGGCACCCACCTGGCCTCACGCAGCTCCCCAGACCCCCAGGGGGGACAGGCACCCACTGTACTGGTGACAGGTCACCTCAGCTGGACACCTGTGCTCTCCGTGGTGACAGACACCTGGGTGCTCCCCATGGACACCTGGGTGCTCCCCATGGACACCTGGGTGCTCCCCATGGACACCTGTGTCCCCCGTGGTGACCTCACCTGGACACCCGTGTGCTCTGTTGTCCCCCTCCATGGAGGGGCACCTGCAGTGATAGCCCCCTGCCCAGGCTGCTGGCAGGCGAACTGGGGAGGGGGTTGAGCCCCTCAGCCCTCCCAGCCCACCTCCACAGGCCCTGGTCTCTGCAGGTGGTGGATTACCTGACCCAGTACTCCGGGATCAAGCCGGGAGACCTGGATGCCAAGATCTCCTCCAAGCACTTGACCACCCTCAAATCCACTTACCTGAAGCTGCGTTTCCTCATCGACGTGGGCGTCAAGTTTGTGGGCCACGGGCTGCAGAAGGACTTCCGTGTCATCAACCTGATGGTGACAGCACTGAGCCCCCTCCCTCCCCTGGCTGTGGGCAGGAGCTGTGCAAACCCTCCCCTCCGGGGCAGCCCCCCTGCCCTGGCAGCAGGACCCCCTCTGCTCTCCAGGTGCCCAAGGACCAGGTGATCGACACCGTGTACCTGTTCCACATCCCGAGGAAGAGGATGATCTCCCTGCGCTTCCTCGCCTGGTACTTCCTGGGTCAGTGGCCAAGCTCCTGGATCCGGGAGGGGCGGGAGCAGGGGCATAAACCCCCCCGGGGGTCCCCACCAGGCCTCTCCCTGACCGAGGGGTCTCCCCCCAGACCTGAAGATCCAGGGAGAAACCCACGACAGCATCGAGGACGCACAGACGGCGCTGCGGCTCTACCGCAAGTACCTGGAGCTGAGCCCGCAGGGCTCGGAGCCCGAGGAGTTCCGGAAGGTGCTCAAGGGGCTCTACGAGAAGGGCCGAAAGCTGGACTGGAAGGTGCCCGAGCC